AAGAGGGGTTGACGAAAAGGGGGGGGAAAGAGACAGTGCCTTAATACTTGAGGTGGATCTACGGACGCTTGTGAAAGGCTGGAGAAGCAGCGTTTGATCAACAATGTATGACATTGTTGAAGCCAGGGCAATTTTGGCTTCGCGCTACTATTGTACTAATTGATGCTGACTTCCTGAATCAGGTACATGCCATGACCATTGAAGATCAGTAGAAATTGATATTAAGCAGCATGCCAATGACAACAAGTTCAAGGTGGAGGGAGATCTTTTATACTTTGAGGAGCGGTTATATATCCCAAAAGAACCAACACGACTCCGAGTTCTTCAATCTCGCCACGATTTTCCACCTGCGAGACATTTTGGATTCAACAAGACCTTGAAGCTTATTTCTCGAGATTTTTGGTGGCCCCAAATGTGGAAGGATGTGAAAGATTTTGTCCTCTCCTGCGACATCTGTTCAAGATCCAAGAATCCTCGGCATCGCCCTTATGGACTCCTATAGCCATTGCCGATTCCACGTCGACCATGGTCTTCAATTTCTATGGACTTCATTACAGACCTGCCATCATCGAACTCATTTGACAGCATCTTTGTCGTGGTAGATCAGCTTACAAAAATGACGCACTTTGTCCCTTACAAGAAGACATCGTCTAGTGAAGTCACATCAAGGCTCTTTCTCGATAATGTATATCGATATCATGGACTACCAAATGATATCGTATCAGATCGAGGAACCCAGTTCGTATCAAAGTTTTGGAGATCTCTCTTTGAAATACTGAAGGTGGATATCAAGCTTTCTTCGGCTTTTGATCCTCAAACTGACGGCCAAACGGAACAGATGAACCAAGTCTTGAAACAATACTTACGATGCAACATCAACTATCAGCAAGACGATTGGACCACATATCTATCGCTAGCCAAGTTTGCATATAACAACACCCTCCATGCGTCGATTCAATACACACCATTCTTTTCCAACTATGGGTATCATCCGAAGCTTGATTTATTGAGTCCGTCAACAAATAACAATCCAGCAGCTGAAGGATTTGCGAAACAACTATCAGAGCTTCAAAATACGTTGAAGCTTCAATTACAATCCGCTCAAGAATCCTACAAGGCGTCTGCAGATAGATTTCGGAATCAAGCACCTACTTTCAAAATTGGAGATAAAGCATGGCTTTTTCGACGGAATATCAAGACCAAGCGACCATGTGATAAGTTGGACTATCGAAGATTGGGACCATTTATCATCCAAAAGCAAATCAATCCAGTGGCGTACCGTCTGGAATTATCGACTTCTATGAAGGTACATCCAGTCTTTCATGTTTCTTTGTTGGAGCGTTATCGAGAGTCATCTTTTCTTGGAAGAGTACAATGTCTGCCACCTAGTATTGAGATCGAGAACCACGAGGAATATGAGGTTGAAAAGGTACTAGATTCACGGCAAAGGTGGGGCAAGTTGGAGTATCTTGTTCATTGGTGCGGCTACGACATTAATGAGCGAACGTGGGAGCCAGCTGAAAATCTCACCAATGCGCCGCAAAAGGTACAGGAGTTTCATCAACAACATCCTCATAAACCTAAGCCGGTTCGACAATAGCTTCCTTCTGAAGCTTGTTCACTTAAGAATATAAGAAAGTAGGAGAGCACCACCAAAATTCGTAGTTGATGTAGTTATTTTCTCCAAGATAAAATAGAATTTTTTCAGTAGCCATAGTTTGGTCTTCTGATATGGATAGCCATGAGATAGATACTATGCCAGTCAGATTATCTCAACCGACTAACTCACGAAGGCGACCCCGAGATGAAGAACCACCTACACCATGAGAATGTCGGAGGATACCGAGTAACCGATCACTGGTGATTGTATTTCAGTCCGAGCCTGCTTACAATGGTCAGCCAGAAGGCGTGCTTGTAGAACAATTTCATAATGAGGACACGGAAGTTCATGCTTGGTCAGAAGTTGAAGGAGTGGGCCACTACCGTTGGCTTCAAGGGCCGATGAACCACTTGCCTCGTGAACAACAGTTGGAATTCATAGTAGACGTTATGCGATAGATCTTCATTTTCTTGCATTAGTATTGATTGATAACAACATTGCTTCTCAGAGACCTCGAAGCTAAAGGAGGGGGTGATGTTAGGGACATAGTCTTTAGAACCTTCTAAAGACAAGTTTCTAGAACCTTCTAGAAGTAAGTCTCTGGAACCTTCTAGAAGCTTCTTAGTTGGTAGAAGATATTAGGGACATAGTCCTTAGAACCTTTTAGAGATAAGTTTCTAGAACCTTCTAGAAGCAAGTTTCTGGAACCTTCTAGAAGCTTCATAGTTGGTAGAAGTTGTTTGAGAAGCTTCCTAAATAGAAGTATATATTGGAATCGAGGCTGAAGAGTTCTTCACTCTCGACAACACATCTCTTGGAGCTCTAGCTCACCTCTCTAATGTTGTTCTCATCTGATTAATCTAGTTCTTGCCAGTTCTTCTTAGACTTCTTGTTAGATCTCGAGTCTATATTTCTGTGTCCGTGACACATTGCTATTGTCACTTCTACCAAGTGTAGAATCCATAAGTTTTTTCTATTCCATCTTTATAATAAATAACTTTAATAAATCCTCAAGTCAAACTAAAAGCAGATAATTCACAACCTCTTATATTAAAACAAAATCTTTACAAAGAAGAATTGTCTACTTTATTTAAGAAAAAAATAATATTAAAAGATAAAAATATTAATTTTAAAGTGGATATTTTTTAACCTTTAGAATACAACAATAAAAAATAAAATAATCCAATTTCTTCTAAAATAAAATAAGAATATATATATATATATATATATATATATTATCAAATTATCAAGGACATAAATCATAATAAAACTCTAAAGAAAGAATACACTCTTATGATACTTAAAAAGATAAGTTAGATTAATTAAAGATAGATATAAGGTAAAAATTAGAATTTTTGTATTGAATAATTAATTAAATAAAAAAACTTTATGTAATAACATAGTAATTAAATTTAATAAAATAATATTTTTTAACCATTTGAAACTTTTTAAATTAAAGAATTGAAATTTAGCTTTTGACAATACTTTGATTTGAGAAAACTAACAAAACTACTTATAAGAATTTTGATAATGTACAATAATATTTTTTCTTGTTGATCAATAAAAAGAAATTTTCAAAATTAAAATTTACAAATCACATTGAAAATAAAATAAAATGCATGGTAGATAAAATAATCACAGATTATACATATACACATAAACAAAATTCTAGACTATTAAATATAATCAATTTTTTCCTATCTTGTGAGTCAACCATTTTAATGAAGTCTGTCAAAGTAAACAGTAAATTATCATTACTTTGTAGAGCAGACTTTTTTTCAATACTTTTTTAATATTAAATATCTTATTACAAGACAATACAATATTTTGTGACTATGATTTTCAACTGAGTTCATTCAAAATATGAACATGTGATTCTAATGAGTACTAAATTTAAAATATGTATATAACAACACATAGTACTTTGTGATTGAAGAGAAAGATGTACCAATACACAATTCTTGTTCACAAAGGATTAAATTATGCTTTTAAAAATATATGCACACACATGCATGTGTTTTTTGAATTAGAAATAATAATACCATAATTATCCAAAAAAAATTATTTTAAAACCGCAAGAAGTTTTTAATTGTTAAACATAGAGTATGCATTTATATGAAGCAAGTTGTGGTGTAGGTTGGACATAAATTCTTCCAACGTAACTACTTTCTTGAATTTGTGACTGTTTATAATTCTTTAAAAAGAATATCAGTATATTTTTGTTTATTTTCTGATGTTCAAAATGAAGAACAAGTAACAACTATATAATTTATCATTATTTATTCACGGTATTATTTACTGTATACTGATGTTCAAAAAACACAATTTCTATTGTTAAAATTGCAGGAAAGTAACTTTTGATGTTTTTATCTAAAATAAGGTTCTAATCAAACTAAAAATGAGAGTGTATTTATTCTTATTGTTTGTTTGTATTATTCAATAATAATAATAATAATAATGACATAAATTATGTTTTGTTAACATTTCAACAAGATACTGTTTAATGTAAAAAAAAAGAATATTTTTTTAATTTAAAAACAGATAAAATTGACATTGATAACAAACATTGACATTTAAATTGTTAATTGGATACAAAAAGAATCAAAATAAAATAAATAAATAAATAAACTTTTTTTTTTTTACAAGTTTAACAGTGTATAAACAAATTCTAAAACAGTTAATTTCCAAACAAATCAGCAAACTATAATCTTACAATGAAATCCCAGAAATTTCCAAACTGATCCTATGGAAATTTCCGACATGTTAATATTTTTTTTTATTATTCGTAAGCTCCTAAAATTTCGTGACATTTGTGAGATGGTACCGGAATTAATTTTAAAAATAAACAAATAAATAAATAAATAAATAATACTACCGTAATTTTGTAGACATCTGAAACTCATGAAAGATCCCAAGTTTGAGTAACTTTTTAGAAGAATGAATGAACACACACACACACACACACACACATGTTTATATATATATATATAGAAGGTTTACAATTACTTGCATCTGAAAGTCAATTTCCAAAATTTCCCACAGAACAGTTTAAGAAGAATGAACAAATACAGTACATTCTCTGAACTCTCACGCATTTGTTGACAGTATGATGCTGCAGACCTGAGCAAAAGAGGAGAAAATAAAAGACACTAGCTGAGCGCCACAAACCCATATCTGCAACCCCCATAAATGTAGCACCTCTGAAAATTCAGAAATGTAACACATTGACATCATCGTCGGAAACTGATGAAAACAAAACCGTCTGAGAATTGAACACAAGGACAACTGCCCTGATAAAGATACAAATGCGTGCAAGGCACATGACAATCCCCAGTCCACTCAGTGCAGCTCTCCATCATACTACAACATAACGCTCCACGTTGCACATCAATATATATATATATATATATATATATATACATATTCTAGGACTGAATGTTCTTGGACAAAATCAAGTCGTTCTGGTGATTACATAATAAAACAAAACTACGTCGGCTTTGCAAATTTAGCTTAGGTATCAACTTAAGGAACTACTTTACAACGCCAAAAGCTTACTTTACACAAACAGATGTCCGGGTTGCCACACGTATGGTTCGACCTCTGCTCATGGCAGTGCACATGGAGCAGTGCTAGTGCCTAGCTCCTTCCTCTGGCCCCAAGAATACCAGGTTAAACAAGAACTACTTCTTCCAGAAAGAGTTATCATTGCCTTTTTTTTTTTCTTTTTTTTTTCTTTTATTTTATTTTTTTTGGTCTAGGATAGTGCTGCTTGCAAAATAGTGTCTAACCACTTGGCACCCACTTGAAGAATGCAAGTATCTTTCGAGTCATCTCGAAATTGTTACGCGAGTCGGACAGATGGCATCGATTGTGTTACCCTCCAGTACTCCCACCCATTCTGACCGTCTCCACAACTGCTTGTACCCTCATACTTATATTTGCATGTAGCCTCTATGCTTCAGTCGATACTTTGTCAGAGTGATCAGTGAACACACTCGTACCGTCCTGTTCCTTTGCGCCCCACACCTCGTTTGCAACCTCAGCGCCAGGTTTCTCTGCAATATGATCTTTGACCACGTATCCCTCCGTCTCCTCTGTGGGGGATTCCTCATGATATGCTGTGCAAGAAATTTTCAACAATGACATGAAAGTTAGAAAAAAGGAAAAGGAAAAGGAAAAAAATTCATAGTATTTAACTATTTTGGAGCACTTCCACTAACCTGAGCCACATTGCAAGCTCTAATCGATAGTTTCAAAGGTTAAGCTTAAGATAAAAGCAGCTCTAAATCATGAATACCAGGAGGAAAAAAGAAAAGAAAAGAAAAGAAAAGAAATAACTTATACAAGAATGCATACACGCATCTAAACAGAACGTAGAGCATTCTCAATGCAGCTTCGGCGCACACCTGAGCATAAAATTACTGACCATCTCTGTCCAACAACACCCAAAAAACCGGATAGATGAACAAAAGCTTGGATCTGTCTAGAGACTAACTCACTTACCGGTTACATTAGATTGCTCGAAAAGCTCTTGACTAGCTCTTTCTATAGCCTCCTCTGGATGCTTTTCAGTATCCTACATTCTCCAATATTATTCGTTAAAAACCTAGACCATAAAGAAGAATCTCGTACAAACTTGTCAATATAACCCATGTTATGCAAGCCGATGCTATTCAAGATTTCTGAAACGGCGCCCTCCCATAAAATACAGGGGGAATATTAATCTCTCCTTACAACCTCTATTTTAAAGAAACAGCCATGAAAATAGGCAAACCATTGAAGGCGACTTCATCCTAACACGAGCCTTACGAATTATCTTCAAAATGGAACAGCCGGAGTATATACCTCAGGTATCTTCTCTGCAAACTTTTCACCGAAACTCGAATAGCCCATGAACCTCGCAGAGCCAACAAACAACCCATCACTCAATTGAGCAAGCGACCCACCAGCTCCTCTTGATCCAACAAGACTGGGCGCCCCATCCTTCCTTCCAACTGTTGAGAAAGTCTTGTTTACACGAGAACTCGCCACAAGGTCATTGCAGCCTTGCGGTACCACCGAGGACAATCGCCTCACGTTTCTGCAAAATATTACAGCCGTTCTCATGACTTCGAACCCTTCGAAATCCTTCCCCTGATCCTCGGGCTTCCTTCGAATCGAAACCCCCTCTACGCAACTATTTCCGCTGCACACGCACAACTCACAACAATTCCGAAATTCAAAAACTCAACTTAAACTTCACACACACGACCCCATGACCACTGATTTTTCACTAATCCTCCTCAACCCTCCTCTACAAACAAGATTCATGCACACAAACGGGGACAATCTCACAGAATGCTGCACGAAAAAAACCGACACACATCTGCTGTACCCTCTCACTCAACACCACCCAAATCAATCTCAGAAATCCCTCTAGAGCAAAAAAAAAAATCCCATTCCCCTTCCAACCCACCAAATCGCACCTCTACTTCAAACCCGACGAATCTCTGTCCCAAACACGCCCTTCATCTCGCGCATGACATCACTCAAGTTCAAACTAGCTCACTAAAACACGACACAAAACCGTGGGCAAAACACTGTAGGAAGTGAGAGCGCACTTGATCGAGAGCTCCTTAGTGACAGCGTCGAAATTCTCGCAGCAAAGATGCGCATCGATGAAGCAACAGCAGGCAAAACTGCGAAACTAGTGTCCAGAAGAATGTGAGCACGGCCGAAGAAGAAGAAGGAAGAAGAAGCAGAAGCAGTGGGTCTGTCAGTGGCAAACTGTACCCCGCGCCGTCGCCCCAAAGGCACTTTTCATGGACGGACGTCCACCCCTTCGTTTGCCCTCTTGACGAAAGCGTTGCTTTTCACCGGACGACGAGGAGACGGAACCGGACCGAGATTCTAGCGCAGTTGTGGAGCGTGACTGGTTAGTTGTTGACGTCGTCCGTTAAACGTTCGTCGGTTTATACAACGAATTGAGATTTCGTTGGATTTGAAGGATGTTGGGTTTTAAACGTGTGGACTTCCCATGTGTCACCTTCACTCACATCTTTTCTCTTGTTTGTGTAAATATTTGTTATTTGTAAATCCAATTCTAGTTTCGTAATTTTCTTAAGAAATTGCTCCTTCTAAATGGAATTGTGTTTCATTTTTTTTTAAGTTCACAATGTAGCATCTAAATACTAAAAATATTACATGCTAAGTTTTGAATCAACGTTTATTATTTGGTGTGGCGACTAAATAAACTTCAATTGATTATTATCACCAAATTTGGTAAATTATTATACTTTATGTTTTTAATGAATTAAATTAAATTAAATTATTATTATTATTATTTGCATCTATTTTAAATAATAATAATAATAATAATTTTAATTAATATTATCTATTTTAATAATTTCACTATTACTTTTTGATATTGTAGGTTATGTGGTTATTTTTCTATCTAATAACAATATCAAGAATACATATTTGTCTTCAATTTAAAATCAAGTCAACACTAAAATAAAAATGTGCAAACAATCTATGAATTGAAATTGGATTGGTTATTTTAAATAAGGGTATTAACTTTAACATTTAATTCTTTTGCTGTAAAATATTCTTAATTATAATTTCGACGTTGATACAATTTCCAATATTATTATGTTACATTTAAAGATATGTTCTGTTAGTGGAGTTTTTTTTAAAAAAAAAATTAAAATACTATTTAAAAAAGTGAGAATAACAAAATCAAGATATATATATATATATATATATATATATATATATGAATTATTTAAATTTACAGCAATAAAAATCATCACAACTCCATTTCCTAACGTAGATGGTGAGTATTATTTTATTTTGTTTTTTTATGATATTTACTCTCTTCCTAAGAAGCAAATGATATGTAAACAATGAGCTCTATTTACACAAATATTTGGCATTAATTTGAAAACGTTAAAAATCAAAATTCTAGTTGTTAAAAATGATTGGCAACTTTGAATGGGATTTTCCTTCTTTGCAATATTCAAAAAATCTGATAGTAAATCAAATCAATTTGACTGATTGTTTTAATCTTAAATAATTGGAACAAACCTCACGTAAAGACCTGTAGGAGCCGTTCCCACAAAATTATGGTTATTAATGGTCTCTTAAAACACACCAAAAAGTTGGGTGCCTTTTGCTTTTTTTAGGGGAAAACCAATCAACTCCAAACATGTGACTTTTGCAAAAACTCTACACTTTTTCCACCCATAATCTATATTAATTAACTTAGTTTTTGGATGTTAAATTATTAAATCACTAGAGTTTCAAACAGTACGCATTGCTAATACAAAAACAAAATAAAACTCAAGAAGATATAAATGAAAATATATATATATATATTATAAATAAATACAAAATACCTATAATGTAAATAGTAATTCCAACAAGATATTTCTTTCGACACAAAAATAAATATGAGAATTTAAAATCATATAATGAATTTTAAATATTCATGTGTATACATAGATAATTTTATCAATACTTATTTTTCAAAAAAAAAATTCTATTTAAATTTTTATAGCCAATATCCACGGAATAATATATATTTTTTCTTTGTTGAGATATCTATAGATATAGATACATTTAATAAAATACTAACAAATAAATTAATTTATGTGCTTAATATATAAATATTTTAATGGATATATATATATATATATATACACACACACATATGCACATAAATAATTCAACATAATTAAAAAAAAAAAAAAAAACTGCAGTGTTTACCACTGATCACAAATTTTATATGGGTATTTAGTACTTCAACACCACATTTGAATTACTTAGTATGAATTGATCTTTTTTAAACATTTTAAATTTTATAATCTGACATAAAATATGATAAGTATATATATATATATATATATATATATATGTACATACATACATACAGCTAATAAATTATTATTAAGCTAAAATGAAAAGTTCTAAAAAGTATGCAAAAACTATAAATTATTTATCACAATCAAACCAAAAGATTTTTAATTCTTATTTTAAATTTAATTGATTGCATTTTTTTATATATAGCAAGTCATAATTGAATAAAATGAAATAAAATTTAAATATACACAATCTAAACAATCTGTATCAAATTCATTATTGTACATTTTTTGATGTGATGAAAAAACTTACTTTTCAAAAACGAATATTTTCAAAAAAACCGTAAACTTTACTTATAAATTTATTACAACTCGATTGACTAGGAAAACTTTTGAAAAATAAAGTCTAGAAAATTACACATTTTTCAGTTTGAATTGTTATATGCAAGTCAATTTTTTTGTTTATTTTTTGACGTTATTGTTATTCTAGATGTTGTTACACCTGTATTAAAGCCTTGCACATAAAATTACAACACCATTGTAGTCATTTTGGGAAATGTTATATCCTCATGAAAGCTCAAATGTATCTACAAACATATAATTTTGAAACACTGAATCAGAATTTTACATTAAATACAATTAACCAAAATTACAGATATATATATATATATATAGAGAGAGAGAGAGAGAGAGAGAGAGAGAGAGAGATCATTAAATAGTAGTCAAATTCATGAATGAGAAAGACCGAAAATGATATTATATTCAACACCAGAAATTTGTTTAGTTGTGGTGATCCAGTTGCTGGTGAGACTCAGTGCAGAAAGTGAGTCTAATGATAGTAGGATTTGACCTTTGGTTCATTGCTCTGCATATTTTACATGGGAATTGCATATTGCAATTTATTTTCTCCCCCCCCCCCTCCCATTTTAATCAAGGAGAAAAATTTGTGCATTGGCTTCAGCCCTTGAGTTTCTTTACTATTTGTTGTGCTTGTATCATTTCGTATTGTTTATTGGAGCAGGAATTTGTGTGATATTTGAAGGAAAAAATGTTGATAGACATGAATCCTAATGATACAACACATTAAGTACGTACTACACATCAGATTGATTCAAACACAATTGAAGCTCATACTGACATGAGGGCCCTTGTGTAAGTTCCCTTTTGCTGCCAGTACTTTCAGAGGCATGACACAGACATGAAATCAAGCCTTCATCCCTCCCTCCTGCTGTGTGTGTGTGTTTTTTTTGTATGTGTACACTTGAGAGAAATGATTCAAAGTTGCTATCAGTATGTACAAATCTACATACATACACATATTTGTATTTCATTTTATGTTGAGAAAGGATTTCAGGTCACAGTCTGATTTGACTGCTGAACTAAGTCAGTAATAGACTCATCCACTCTTTGATGTGGGTTTTTGAAGTTGATTGCTGTGGGTTTGATCCTCTCCATTAGAGCTAATGGCTCCATTCCACACATCCTGAATCAAGCAGCAGCAGGCCTCACTAAAGTTTAAGAGGCATTAAACCATACTTTACAAACCCACTGGCTTCATCCTCTCATTGTTTGTTTGTTTACAAGCTCAGCTTCTCTCAGACTGGTAACTTTGTTGTGGAACTGCATCCATGTCAACTTGCATTTGTTGCTACATGTATGCTGCATGATTTTGTGTCAAAGCATGGCATGAATTCTAGGATTGTAATTCAACATCTGTTGTGATGAGTTGTTAAGAAAAATAAATAAATTGATTTATTTTTTGATTTTTTGATTTTTTATCATATTGAATCTCAGTAGAACCTGTGTAAAATATTGGAAAGAGCACATTATTGTATATTGTTGTGTGTACTTTTGGTCCAAACTATTTAAACATTTGAATTAAAAGATTCAAAGTATTTGATTGGAAGTATGTAATTTTGATTTTCAATTTCATAAATTCGATCTTTATTTCAACATCTATAATAATTAAAAAACCGGAATAAACCAATCTATAAATTGGGAATAAGTCAAAAGTAAACATTTGGAGCTATTGATGGAAGTAAAGATAAAAAGCTCTTTTCGTACATAGAAAATTAAATTACTCAAGATTATGAAACTCTTTTCATGTAAGTTTCTTCATCTATATTTACTAGTACATGATTTACTTGTTTTGATGGATAATGTGGGATTAGTGGTCCTGCAAACAATAAAACTCAAAAAGTGCACATTTTCAAATGAAACCATTGGTTTTAAGGTTTCGTTTTTATTAGTTATTTAGAAAAATACTTAAAGATATAATTTTCATGTATTTTTAGTATAATAAAAAGATATTTCAGGTTTTAATTTAAAAACTCATCAGATAAAAAAAATTCAAATAATTTGTTTGAATATAATTCTTTAGAAAAAGGTTTAAATAACTTGTGTAATTCAGCTTATATGATTTTAAGATTTTGGTATCCTTGTTGCAAAAATGGAATTTTAAATGGTTTAAAGCATTAATTAATTTAAGATAATTATGTATTTTTAATTTTTAATTTGAAAGAATTTTAATTTAAATTCCATTTTACGTAATAACATACATATACACTTATAGAAGTCAATAATACAAAACCCTGAACTAACCATAGTTTTATTATTAAAATTTGAACGAAGTTTTTGAATAGATATTTAAACAGAGTCAAGAAAAAGACACTGGAAACATGTTATTTTATATGGACATTGACTTCAAACAAACATTCGTGGCTACAAATTTTTATTCTCAAAACTTACATCAAAACTTTTAATTACTGCATATTATACTGCTCAGGTAATCCATAGGTTCAACAATAAAAAGGAACAAAAACAATGACTTGATAGATGTAGCTAATCAAGAGTTTTATTATTCTTTTTTGTTTTGAATTGTAGAAGATTTAAGTTATCTCTCTCTCTCTCTCTCTATATATATATATATATATGTTTGAATGAAAGAATGGTTCTTACAAAAGCATAATTTTTAAAGGAAAAAAATTGGACACTACTTTTTTTAAGAAGACACATGTGTTTTATAGTTATAGTCATTCATGCAACTTGTTTGCATAACTTTATAGTTTTTTTCTCTAACATAGTACACACATCTAAATTTTAATATTTGACATTAATCATTTAATAAACAAAAAGGACATTATTTACCTTTTTTAATTTTTAATTTTTAATTTTTTTACCATAATCCTTTTTGATAGTATCAATATGATCATATACATATATAAATATAAATATTGAATGGAAATGATATCACTGTTTAAATGTATAGTATTGGGGTTGTTCATGTAATAGTATGAGAATGTCTACTTAATAAAGGGGGGATGTCCACCCAATGGTTTATTTTATTTTATTTTATTAACATTGTAAAATTTGTGAACTGTTTTATAATATTTAAAACATTAACTTTTAGTAAAACTAACTGTAAATATTTATATAAGAAAATAACATAATTATATGATCTCCAACCAGAACACACAACAAGTAAGTGATTTTGGACCCATTGATGTTGCACTAATGTAATGTAATGTACTGTTCCCAAATGAAAGTCAAGATATTATTCCTATATAACAATCATTGAACAGAACTATAATAACATATGGCTGTATAAATGTACAGAAGAAGGAGAAGCCATCTGGTGGTGTTGGGGGGGGTAATTCCACATACATGTACATATTCTCTCTCTCTCTCTCTCTCTCTCTCTCAATTTTAACCCTCCCTCAGAGTCATCATCAGTAGTAATATTGAAGAGCAGTATTGATTGATGTGTATTGTATGTATGTAATGTATGGAGGCGAGGGAGGGAGATGAGCTGGCAAGGGATGGGAGTTGAAGGTGAGCTGGCAAGGGATGGGAGTTGAAGGTGAGCTGGCAAGGGATTGGATGGAGGAAGGTCATGAAGAGAGATAGGATATGTATTTATACTCTCTCTCTCTCTCTTTTACTTCCTATCCTTCCCTTTGGCCCCCTTCCTAATGGTACTATTCTACTCCTACCACCACCACCACCCTCTAATTCTTCTTCTACTGCTACTACTTCTACCCCCTCTGGACTCAACAACTCTCCTTCTCCCCCCCTCCACCTCTGGATACGTATATACACATATACAAGTGGAAGTGGAAGGGAGCTGGAGGACGAGGAGGATGCAAGAGGAACAGGGGAAGGGAAAGGGGGGCAGTGCAGAGAGGGAACAGAGGAACAGGGATGGTGTGGGGCCAGGCCAGGACAGGCAGGGGTAGCCCACCCCCTCTCTTCCCCTCAAAGGTAGGGGAGTGGGAAGGGGGGGTGTTGTCGTCGTCTTTGTCCTCCCTCCCCTCCGCTACCCCTTTACCGCCCCTCATATTTCCTTTCCTTCTTCTTTTCCTTTTCTCTCTCCCTCTCTCCCGTGCCCTTATTCTTCTTCTTCTTCTTCGTCCCCTGGCTGCTGATGCTGCTACTTCCTTCCTCTCCTCTCTCCCCCCTGTCCCCGTATTCTCTCTGCCTCTGCCCCTGTTCTATTCTACCGATGGATGGATGGATGCCAACTATTCTCCCCCTCGGTCTCGGTCGTGGTCTCGATCTCTGTCGATCTCTGTCGATCTCTGTGTAAGTGAGTGAGTAAGTGCGTCTGTGAGAGTGAGTGAGTGCATCTCTCTGTGTGTGTGTGAGAGTGAGTGAGTGCATCTCTCTGTGTGAGTGTGTGTGTGTATCTCTCTCTCTCAGAGTGTGTGAGAGAGTCTGTCTGTGTCGGTCGGTCTGTCCGTCTTTCCCTTTTGCCGTCTTTTTCTCCTTCCTCTTCCTTTCCTCCCCCCTCCTTTTTTCCCTCCTTTTCTCCCTTCCCCCCCTCCATTCCCTTCCCTGCCCCTTTCCCTCCTCTATTCTCTATTTCTAAGTCTCTTTTCCTCCTATTGCTGTTTCCCGTGCCTCCTCTGCCGCGCTCGCTCTCCCTCTCTCTCTCTCTCTCTCTCTCTCTCTCTCTCCCACTCTTGTCCAGGTCGAGATGTCACACGACCCCCCCTCGACTGCCTCCGACCCCGTTCTCTTGCATCCGGAACCCCGCCCCGCCGCTTCTGACCAACTTAATAATGCTAGTAGTGTAATGGACGAAGAAAAACCCCCGCCGGTCTCGCACTCTGCCCCTCAGGGTGTCGTGGAACAGCCACAGAAGGATATTAATCCAGAGGAGGTGGCAGGGACAGTGCTTGAGGGTAGTAGTGAGAAGCCAGGTTCAGGTGCTGCTGCCCAGGCTCCTGTTTCTCAGGATGACCGTTCTGCAGAGGGAGAAGAAGCAGAAGCAGATGACGATGGCGAAAAACTTAGAGAAGCAGAAGGAGAAGGAGATGACGAGGACGAGGGAGAAGAAGCAGTAGTAGAACAGGAAAAAAAACAGAGGGGGAGAAAGAAGCGACCTGAAAAAGTGAAGAAGGAGTCTACTGATGACGAGGTGGAGCAAGATGTCAAGACACCTAAACGTGGTCAGTTCACGGCAGAGAAGAAAGCAGCGGCCTCGTTTGCGTCAGACAGGCCTACGCGGGAGCGTAAGACCATTGACAGGTTTATAGCTTCAGCTGAAAAGGACAATACTAAGGAACTGGAGATAAAACAGGTACTTCAGGAGTTCCCTTATTGCCGAACCTCCTGCTAATCTAGCTATCCCCACACTTTCAGCATCATTGCTTTCAGGGGTTATCTCTTCTGAGTGTGATTATGTTGTAAGGGATTTCTTACACCCTCAGCTGTCCGACGCATTTGTTAGGGGGGGATTTCTCATGTCTCCTCACCTTCCATGGCTGGCTTCACTATTCGAGTGCTCTTTGGATTTAGACATCTCATTCGAACCCGAGAGCCTCAGCGAAACTTTTCGCCAGGCTGGTTGGTCACTCATCCCTACTTTCTAGGACGATTTGTATTGGTGGATGCTGTAGTGTTTTCTTCCCACACCAGATATTTTTGTTGTTTGGTCAGTGTACTTTCAAATTTAAGTTCCTGTCGGTAGTCATCGCCCTAATATTCCTTTGAATTAGTGCCTTCCTCCTATTTTTGATTTTTATGATATGCTCGTTGCTGTCTTAGCTGTTAGGGCACGCTCTCTGAGAAGGCCATTTGAAGCTTTTTCATGCTGCTGGGTTACGACTTCATAGTTCTTTTCTGCGTGATATTGTTTTAAATGCTGCACTCAGTTTTAGGGCTTGCTGGATTGTTAGTTTTCTCGCTTTTCCTTTTTGAGTATTAAGGGTGTCTTCTGATCCCCTCGGAATATCCGCAAACAAATAGACGTTGAAACATTAAATAGCTCGATAAAGATGTCAGTACCCGCGATTTCATTTTTAGAGTTTCTATCTAAGAGTGAAGATGGTTCTTTTTTCTGCATATGCAGTGCTTAACTGCTTCTCCTCTCTATGTCATCTCGCATTGTTTTGCAGTCCATAAAGCATGCGTGTACAATGTACTTCTTTACTGTTTAGTGAATGGCTTCTTTTCGGTTCTATCGTAACCATACTTTTTTCGTTTTTCATTTCAGGGTGATGGAACGCCATTGAAGGACATACCGAATGGTAAATTAAATTTAGTATTGCTCTTGTCTCGAATAGTTTGTAGAGATGAATTGTCTTTCATAAACTGTTCTGTTTTTGACTGGGTGTGCGTAGCGTATCAGTGTATTTATCAAATCGGTTTTTGGGTTTATATTCTCTTAAACGTATTAGTTGTACATTTTAGTGTAGTTTGAGCTTGATATGACACGTTTGGTGATCCTGGAAGTCATGTGACCTTTACAGTTGTGTACAAGCTCAGCAAAAGGTTCAAGCATGATGAGACATTGAGTCAACTACATTCAATTCTGTTCAACAAGCGAGGGAAGGTGCGTTATTGTTTGGATTAAAATTTTAAATTTGAAAACTTAATTAATTTAAAATGTTCAGCTCGTGGTATTGATGCATAATCATTGGAAGAAGATTCCTTGTTTCCTTGTTGATACTATTCCATGTGCTTGAAGTGAGATAATTAGTCACTAAATAGATTATATCTTGTAGTCCTCTCTGATTGTGCGAGTTTTCGAGATTCCAACAAATGCTCTAGAATGCAATTCAAATCTGCTTAACCATCCATATGCATGTAGTAGTAGTGTATTTTCATTTTAGTCAAAAGCATTGTCTGCGTGCGTGTTGAAGTAGTCTGTACTTTTTGGTCATCCTGATGACACTGGTAAGAGGTTTTGTTATTGAAAGAGTTTGACTATGATTATCATCTCGTCAAATTTCTACTTGGGATTTTTTCAAAGTACTGCCGAAACTTAAGTTATTTTTAGTTAATCGTTTTTGAAGTCATTGATGGTAAGCCGTGATTTTTGTTGGACAGCTTAACCATTTTATTTTTTGCCTGTGTTTTTCTCTGAGGTTGTAAAAGTGAATTTGAATGTTAAGTTACCAGCTGGAGCTTTTTAATTCTAATCTCTATTTCGCTGGATGCCAAGACATTCCCTTCAGACAAATATAAAAATAAAAGTGAGACATGATATGAGGCGCTATATGATATAATTCTTTCAAGAGGTCTTATTTGTTTGTTTGTTTGTTTATTTGTTTCAATTGGGAAAATATGGTGGATAAATATGTCATGGGTTTTTTTTCTCTGTCCTTCGTGTTATGTTATACGACGTCCATTGGTAATAGTAATAACGCTTGTAGATTTTGCTAAGGATTTTGATGTTGCAGAAATGAGTCTAGACTTGTTTTAGTGTATTATTTGTGGTTGAGCATGGATTGTTTTAATAACTATGCGGGATCTACATTCGAACGACTTGGAGGTACATATTGACACCCTAGTTATAAGATGTATAGAGCAGGCGGTGATGACATGGAGCTCAATAAAAGCATAGTGATTGCAGACGTAGAAACTTATGTCAAACGTTTTTCTGTGCATTACTTGAAATAATGCGCTACTGTATGCTGCTGTTGAAATTCAACTAGATGATCCTCTTACACATTATTTTTCATTCTTAGCACTTTGAAGGTTCTGTGATTGTCTTGATGAAGTTTATTGAATTCCTGAAACGTTCCTAGTTACTTGCATTTCTACTTGCATTCTCACTGCGATTCTTCGCTAGGATGGCGCGGATTCTTAGAAGAGTTGGCTTGACTTTGGTTTTTCGTTGCCTTCCATTTTTCGGTTTTGTGGGGTTCAGAGTTGCTTCCGAGATGTTGGCATTCTCCCTGTTATGGTGCTTTCTAATTTTCGCATCGTTGATATGATGAATACCTGACTGTTCTTACGTGTAGTAAGCCTTCAAGATGCTGTCAAACGGAGTTTTATAGTGGTGTATTGATGCAGGCTGCTGTTTTGAAGCGACACATCCTGCAATTTTCCGGATATGTGTGGAGTGAAAACAAGGTATGACCTGAGTCAGTTGCTTCGTGGCACTCCCCGTCAGTGTGTCTCTGTCATTCTTATGCTTTTCGTCGTCAGCTTAGAATGTCTCTTGCCTCTATGCCGTTGCTTAGTTTTAATGCAACGTAACATGTTTGTTTCAGGAGAAAGAGAGAGCAAAAATTCAAGAAAAGCTTGAGCGTTATACAAAGGATAGTTTAGTGCAATTTGTGGATGTATTGGACATTCACGTGTCGAAAACCCTCAAAAAGGTACGGTGCGTCGATGGTAAACATGCCGCTTGCTGTTTCTTGCAACATTCTTCTCGTGTTGTTCAGAAATAACAGTCGTGTCTGAGTATTCCTGGCGAACTGAAACATGAATGCAGGAGGACCTTGTGGCTAAAGTGTTAGAGTTTCTGGAGAAACCTCACCGAACGACTGATACTTTGTTGGAATTCAAGAATCAGGTGAGAGCGTGTGCAGTTGTCCCTTTCTTAGTGGTTTTCTGTCTGATACACTGGCACTTTCTCCCATTTCGTATTATTTCTTGATTAATTATGCACTCTTAATAGGGTTACTAACGTTTGATGCAGTTACTGTTGCTCTCATCGATAGTTGCATAATGGGGATGCTTTAAAGTGCCAGCGTATAGTTACACTCTTTAATACTTTTTTAGCTGATATACACAAACACACACTCACACACTCAGTTTTCCCCCTTTTTTTCCTTAACTCTGATCAGAGCAATGAATCTTTGAAATCTCTCTCTCTCTCTCTCTCTCTCTCTCTCTCTCTCTCTCTCTCTCTCTCTCTCTCTCTCTCTCTCTCGCTCTAAGTTAATTGCGTATATTTCAAGAATACTGAACAAAGGGCTTTGAATAGGAGCGCACCTCCTTAGGAAAGAGATCGTCATCAGGAAAGAAACCAGGAAGACCTAAGGTATGTTGATCGCTCAATGCTCGCGAAGTTCGAGAAGGATGCTGTTGTTTGAAGGTCTGATATTGACACCATAGGTTTGATTAGAACTATTTTGTTTCTTCATAATGTGTGAATATTTTAGTGTTAATGTCGAGGCCAATAACAACATTTTCAGATTCAAAAAGCTGAAGGGAAGTCCACTCGAAAGCGTGAGAGGAAGAAAGCTTCCGACGATGCAGATAGCGACAACTCTGAGAAGGACATTGATGGTGCGATAGTGGAGGAAGAGTCGGAGAAAAAGCGTTTGGACTTCAAGGATGACACCGATAATGATGAGTCGATGGATGTGGAGAAGGAGCAAGTAAGAGATTCCAGCACAGTAATTGAGGTTTGTCTTATAACGAACAGTAATTTTTAGCTTCGTTGTTTAAATTCCACTTTTTCAGTGTTTTAATTGCTTCCATTCCTAATTTACTAGTTAAACCTATATTAAAATATACTTAACTGGGAGTTTCAGTTTCCTTTCTTTGCATTGATTGTTGATTGTGTATAATTCACAATCCAGCAAGATTCTGAGGAAAGACCTGCCGAGGAAGAGGGGAATCAAGTGGATAAGGAAGTACACAAGCCCCCAAGAAAAAAGTCCAAGGTTGGGGCTCATGACGTCACCCGGAAGTCACCATCAAAGGCCGCCGATAGAGTTTATTCAAAGAAGTTGAAAGCAGAAGCCTCAAAACGTGTATCCTCATCTACAGCTTCAAAGCAATCCCGTAAGACTCCAGGAAAAAAAAATTCACTTGAAGACAATGGTGAGAACTCTATTTCGTCTTTACTCTGGTGTTATTAGTTTCTCTACTATCGCGCCATTGACGGGCAATGGATCAGTGGGACCACCTCACTTATTCCTGTTTTAGTTGTTTTGAGATTTTTTTGATACGTCTGTTGCATTACTCTACTTCTGCGGATGCTTTCCATTTGGTTAGCACAATTCAAAATGCTTTCAGCATTGTATTCGAATAATTTTATATTTTTGGTGGGAGGTAATTCCAGAGTCAATTTTGCGGTGCATATTGACGTCTTAAACATTTGAGAGTGCATCATCGTGAGGAGCTTTTTAAGTTGGTATCTCGGGTTTTCTGTGTTATTGGGTGTTATCATTTCCCTGATACGTGTTTGCTTAGGCAGGGTTACTGAAAGTAGTTTCTAACCAATATGCATGATTGTTGCAGATGCAGGGAAGAAGTCTATTGTGAAAGGCGGTGAGTCAAATAAATCTGCAATTCCCTCTGATGGGGAACTGCAGGCTAAGATCCGAGAGCTTCTCAGAGAAGCCGACTTCAGTAAGGTAAAAATGATTGTTTGTCACTGATGTTTATGTCAGGAAGGAAATTTATGCTTCAGTGGGATGACGTCACTCGATTTTCTGATGTGTTCGGGCTTACTGTAAGTGTTTATAAACTTGTAACCACCACAATTGGTTCTACAATTGTATCACACAATTATTGATAACCCTTCTCATTCGTTCTCAATGAGTTTAAATGTAGTAGTTAAACCCGCAGTTGGTCGCTACTCAGATAGATGAGAGCGTGGTCGATCGTGGTTGTGGAAGCCTGTTATTGATGGCGTGTTTCTGTTGATTGAGTGTGCTTCTAATTGACTTCAGAATAATTTTTTTATCTCACCTTCCGCTTTGGTAATGATCGTGCTGGATAACTTTGAGTTGATAGTTAATTCATTATTCATTATGCTTGGTTCATTTCGTCTCTAAAAGGCTCTCTGAAATTTTCTGGCCGTTACTTTTCATTCCTTGTGATCTCAACTCTTCTTGTTTCCAAAGCTAACTAGCATACCCTTGTTTTATTGACACTACAGGTTACGTTCACAGATGTCGTTTCCCAGCTTGGTGAGATTTCCATGATTATTTTTCTTGTTCATTCTGTCATTTATTTTTAGTTAAGTTCCTGATCTCAAATCCAGTAGTAGCAAGACCTGGTAGAATTAAAAGTTGATGCTGAAATCTTGTTGTAGATAAATCTGAAAGTTTTGCATTTTTTACTTGGATATTATGAGTAGCACTGATTCCCTTCTTTCATGGCAGAGAGGATATTTGGAGTCAGTCTCGTTGAGCGAAAAGGACACGTTAAAGGACTTATTAGGGATGAAATCAGCAAACTTACTGAGGCAGAGGAGGAATCGGAGAAAGATGCCGAAGAGACCGCAGAAGATGAGTAACCCAATTTAAGCAGTAGTGAGTTTAAGACATTGTTATTCCAGCCCCATTTAGCCATTATTGTGAAGTCCCACCACTGTAGTCTTTCCCATGCGGCAAAAGTAGATGGAAAGTAGGGGCACTTCAGTGCTGTTTCACGCTATTCACAAATCCCTACTTCTTGAGGTGGGTTCCTCACAATAACAGTTCTTTTCAGAAAGGGGAAGCTGTTGCACTTACGAATTATAATTCACTGTTTTTCTTTATTGTTATATCGATGCTTGTCATTTACTCAAATTACTGGATTACTTCGGTAACTCAAGTAAATTAATTTGTGCCAGTTTTGACGTATCAGACGGAACTAGGTCCATTGCTGAATGCATGTGAATAGCTATCTTATCTTTTAGTACTTTTTATTATTTAACATCTTTCTACTGGCGGATTCTTCATCAAATATTTATGTATGAATCAATTAATGATGTGTGAATCTTGCTAACTTTGCTGTCAATATATGAATTTGTAGATTGGAATTCAAGAGGACAACGCACAATTTTTTTTTGAGGATAATTTGTGAAATATGATGTTCCAACTTTTCTCATAATCAAACTTAAATGTTCCGTAATATATAAATTTGTAGTGAAAATCAAATGATATATTACAGTTTTTTTTATTGTGAAGTGAAATTGATTGATTTTTGAATCCCAGAATTGAGATGTGACCTCCCCTCACCATGACATTTGCATGGCTTCACTGTACTTTTAAAAGAAGTGTGCTTGAGCTATTTTTCTTATATCAAAGCATAAGTCGGGTGATAAGTGAATCAAGGTTTTCTTAACTGAGGAATGTTCAATTCTTGGGCAGGTTGTAACGTTGTGGTTTAATGTTATTTTGTTGTCTATTCAATTTGTTGAAATGATCAGAATTGGGTGAACTAATTGAAAAACATGTTTTGAATTGTTGGTAAATGCTTGTCTAAAAATTGAAATATCATTGATGTTGTGCAAATACAATTTTAGAACATCAAATTGACCCACCTAAAGATTAAATTTACAATAAAATAGAAACAATTGTTAATTATTTTCATCATTTGTCATCTTCAAAAAGTCCTCTTCTTGCTATATTTCTTAAGCCACTATGTCTTCCTAATCACCACTATTGCATTCCTAACTTCTCATCAATGTAAAACAATTGACATGCTTTTTTTCTATCATTGTAGTTAATCTCTCAAACTCAAATTCCAAGCTCTTGTTCTATGTTGATCCATTATAATATTTTCTAGGAGTTCCATTCTCTACTCCTCTTTCTTCTTGCGTAATCAACACATCACTAAGTGAAAAATTGACACATTGGTGAGGGAGTGCACTACCCCAAGTAGTGTAGGAGTGGAGCAAAGCAAAACAAAGACAAGTGGGTCATTTATGTTTTATATGTATTAATTTAACATATCCCCAGTTTTATATTCAACTTCTTTGTTTTGTAGTTTGAAATACATTTTTATTACTATTGTACATCATCAAATGAAGTTTTGCAAAATATAAATATATTTTCATTTAATATTGAATAGTTCTAAATTGAATATAATAATCACAATTTACTTTATTAAAAAACTTAATCATTATAGGATTAATTTCTTGTACAAAAAAAAAAAATCCTTAAAAGAAAATAAAGTTTAGAAACTATAAGAAAAGAAAAAAAGAAGCAAAAAGAACGAAAAGTAAAGAAAAGAAAAGAAAAAGACACACACATATATTGAAAATTTGTGCAAAAAATCATCAATTCTAAACTTAATACTTATCTAAAATTAAAAATTCCAACTATAGATTATTTATTTATTTATTTACTTATTTGTTTATTACATAATGATGTACAAAAGTAATATTATCATAAAAAAGCAAGGAAAATTAATTTAAAGTTTTTAAAATTTTTATTAAAAAAATATAATTTTATAATGGTTTATCCAAATTTTTACAAATATAAGATTATAAATATGTGTCAAAATGTAATACAATATTACAAATGTTTTACAAATACAAGATTATAAATATTTAAATTATCGTTTTTATATTTTAAACACATCAAAATGATAATTACCTAAAATATTTTTCAAAATAAAACTTAAAATTATGCTTTTAAATTTTATTTATGAAGAAATAAATATGAACCAAAATATTTATAGGACAAAAATGGTTAATTGCTTGACTTCAATATTCAAATATTTTAAATATTTTATTTAGAGAATTAATATTTTATTTAGAGAATTAATATTTTAATTGTATTACTATTTTATTTATTTATTTTTTAAAATATTATTTATATCTACATAAATAAAAACTAAAACATTTATGAAAGCTTATATAATTGTCAAGGACAAGAACTCAATGAAAAAGCAATTCAGATAAGTAAGCATTCGCTCAAAGAAAGGTAACAAAATATAAATAAACAAGTACGTATATTGAAAGAGAACTGGAATGGCTATTACCAAAAGACAAGAAAATTAGAAACCCTTGAAACTAGACTAGAAGCAAGAAAGGACTTGACAAGAGTGAAGAAGGCTTCACTCTTGTCTCTATATATACTATCTAACTAGGGGCTACATGGCGATGTTCTATATGACCTCCAATAAGTGTTGACTTTGTAGGACACATGCCTTGACTTACAAGGCAAATTTTTATATGTGGGCCATATTGTTAGCTTGGTCTTCAAGCTAACGTGTGTGGCACATGGCCAACTTGTTGACCACGTTTCTAATCCAAAAGTCAATTAAAGACACCTATAAAGTCAAAGTAACATCTATGAAGCTTCTAAGAAGCTTCCATACCAAATACTATAGAATTAAGTTATTTTTATCTACTTTTACTTACTTCTATCTGTTTATATATGTAATTACTGGCTTACATGAGTATGTTTGTGACATTACCTTCCCTTCTAAGGACGAGTTTCACGAGGAGCGATCATCATATATTGATGAAATCTATGATGCGATAAATTGTATTCACCACATACTCTGATCTTTGTTCTCTTTGAAGATGATTGATAGGGCCTCTCAACCATCGGTAGTGTCCCATACCAAGGGGGGAAGACTACCCAGTTATTTGATCATTGTTGAGGCCTTCATAACTTCCTTCGAATAGAACATTTGGAACACCATCAAGAGTTGTTCCTACCTCTAGTAAAATCACCAAACATGGGGAGTCCCTTCCCAAGTTGTGATACCAAAGACGTTGTATCTCGCCATCTATTCGAAGATGAACATGTCGTTCTTAAAGATCTTCATCTCGATTGCGTCCTCTTGAAGGTTGTAATAATCGTAATGTCTCGTCTAGCAGTTCAACAAATGAAGGATCTTGAGTCGAATCCACTGGTTGTTGGTTCTCCATCTCTCGAGCATCACAACTACAAAGAAGCTATAAACAAGGATTAAAAGTAGAATGTTATCTTGGCTAGATGTTTTTTTTATAAAGAAGGTTTTCATCTTGATTTTGATGGATGTCGTCGATGAAAAGCCTACACCGTCTTTGTTGCATTTATAAGATTCTTTACTCACTCCCATGTGCGTTCACTAATATCATATCCGTGCTAATGTACAAGATATTCTAATTTATTTCGATGTCGCCTTGAATCTAAGACTTCTTCTACTTCAAACTCTTCATTATTGTCCACTTCTATAGGAGGAGGTGGAGCTTGTCGTCTTCTTGGTATGTCCACTATCTTGTATGGTTCAAGAAGAGATACGTGGAATACTAGATGGATTTTTATTGACTCCGGTAGATATAAATGATATGCAACTGGATTGATTTGTGCAGAAATAGAAAATGGTCCTAGCCTTCGATAGTCCACTTGTCACAAGGACAAATGGTTTTGATATTGCGACGAAGTAGCCATACCTTACCACCCAAGTGGAATGGTGGTTGTTCCTTTCGATAGACATTTGCATTGATCTTTTGTTGTTCTTGAGCTTCTTTTAAGTGCACCTTCATCGTTGCATGTAGCTCTGACAAATAAATCGCCAAATCTTTCGCAGTAGGATTATCAACTTTTGAAAAGTCAAAAGTATCAAGTCGTGGATGATAACCATAATTAGCAAAAAAAGGTGTTTGTTTTGTAGAAGAATGTACTATGTTATTGTAAGCAAACTCTGCCAATGGCAAAAGAGTTGTTCAATCATCTTGTTGGTAGTTAATGGTACATCTTCAATATTGCTCCAAAACTTGATTAACTTGCTCTGTTTGTCCATCAGTTTGAGGATGGAATGTTGAAGATAGTTTTATATCCATTTTTAGAATCTTGAAAAGAATCCGCCAAAATCTTGATACAAATTGAGTTCCTCTATCTGATATAATATCCTTGGATAATCCATGATAGCGATAAATATTGTCAAGAAAGAGCTTAGCTGTTTCTTCACCTGTGATAGATTTTGTATATGGTACAAAATGTGCCATCTTGGTAAAACGATCTACTATCACAAATATAGAGTCATAAGAACCTGAGATTAGAAGATCTGTGATGAAGTCCATAGAAACAGAAGACCATGGTTGTTCTGGAATGGGTAATGGTTGAAGAAGTCCAAAAAGTCAATGATGAGGAGTTTTTGATCTTGAGCAAACATCACATGATTGTACAAAATCTTTGACTGCCTTTCACATTTGAGGCCACCAAAAATCCCTAGATATCAGCTCCAAAGTCTTATTATATCCAAAATGTCATGCTGCTGGGAAGTCGTGACGAGCTTGAAGAATATGTAAACGTGCTTTTCTTTCTGGAACATATAGGTGTCCTTCGAAATAGAGTAGGTTGTTCTTAAATTCAAATTAGAGGGATCATGAGATTTAGAAGAATTATTCTTGATATCATGAATAAGAGGGTCTGAAGACATACTTAACTGGACTTGCTTAAGAAAAGTTAAATCAACAGTCAATGTTGATTTTATTGCTCGAAGATGAAATTGCTTCAGCTTCAAGAGAACCGTTCTTTGTTGCTCAAAAGCTGTATCTCCTTCTTTTGGTGTAAGATAAGAGCGTCTAGACAAGGCATCAGAAAAACCTTGTTGTTTTCCTGGCCGATAAGTGATGATGAACTCGAATCTTGATAAGGACATGCTCCAAGGAGCTTGACAACGATTTAATACGCGTGCTGAAATAAAATATTCGAGGTTCTTGTGATCCGTTGTCGTGATGTAACATGGATAACAAGTGAAAGGGTGAAGAAAATATCATGTTTTGATGATCTCACTTCAAAAATATTATAGCAAATTATTTTAGAAAAATAAATATTAGTCAAAGGTTAGAAAAATTAAAGGTGCTAATACTGCCTATTTACAAATTATGCTTCTATTTACTTTTT